TCACTCACTTACTGTACATATATGCACAAGCGTTGTCTGAAGAGGTAAATCATAGCTGGTCGTAGAAGGTCCAAAATGACGAGGAGACAGTAGGACCAGTCATGTCTGAAGCTAGCTCGGAATTTGTCTCAGTTTGTGTTTTATTTACTTGAGCTTTATGATTCCCACCTCACTCAATAAACTCAGGTTTATGGGTCCTGAAGTGCACAAGAAGATAAATTAAGGCAAAAAAAAAAACAAGAAAAAATGCCAAAAATTACACCAACCGCTGACAACAGTCTGGAAACAACCACAGACCAATCCAGTCGCAGCTGCATATTTCATGTCTTCAAATGTACTCTTCAATCTAATTAATTCTAACATAGAACAAAAATAAATGTCTTCAATTGGGCAAATGCAAAATAATCACTCAAGCAATTATATTATTTTTCAAATTAGGGGATAATTTGATAAAACATGACCAAGATGTACAGACAACAGTTACCACTCAACAAACTACACCCATTTCTCCATTTCATTGTGTCTACCATCCAAAAATACTAACCAGACCAATCACTGCTTAGCTTCTGAAATCCGACAATCATATTTTACATTAGCATTTACATGTATATTGAATTTAAGATATTGGTGACCTCTAAACCTCATATCACCAGATCTTGTTGACAGAATGATCCCATTGAAACCCATATTTGCTCTCATCACTCTGAACAACCGTGTAATTAAATCAATTACGATTGAAAATGAAGGGTTGTAGGCCAAGAATTCCACCTGGATACAACCCCATCTCAGTGTCAAACTAGATATAGCAGCATGAAAATAAGCAGCAGAAAGTCAATGGCAGTATATTGGCAATAGAAAATAGTAAGTGCGCACCGACAGACAATCAATAGCTATAGCTGGAGGAGGCCACGGTGACACACTTCTGCTGTTTGTTATTCATTCATAGCAGCGCAAGAAAAACATCTCACAGCGCATGGTAACAAAGAACTGCTCGGCGATGCCAAACAAGACTTACCCGCGGTGAAGTTGTAACTCGCCGAAAATCCCACCGCTTCCAGCTCCCCGTCCGTCACAAACTTTATCCACAGATACCTCCCACTACTCCTGATGTCGGGAGGACTTTGCTGCCCACAGTAGCGTCCGAGCATGGGGCTGAAGCTAAACGGCCCATCCCTGACCTCGATGTTGTCAAATTTACATTCCCAAGAGGATTCGATTGAGTAATTTTCCTCAAAGTGTAGATCGATGCATTGTCTTGGCGGAGCTGAAGACACAAAACAAACAATGGTGTGACTTTGGCGAAGGCTAAGGCTAGGCTACTATCATCACAGATCTCCAATATGGGACTGCATAAAGGCGTATGGAACGAGACCCTTTGAGAAAGTGGTTGGTATTACTCTAATTACTTCTGAATTGGATTGTTGAAGTTCTCATTTCAGTTCGATAGATGTTGTCAGTTCTGTCAATGACCGGCCTGGCTCTCACAGCACAAGACAAATGAATAATAACTCTATATTAAAATAGAATAAAATCTCTAACTGTAGCTTACAAAGAGGCAGTAATAAATCTCTATCTTTAGCATAATAAAGAAATAAGTCTTAAAATCTCCAACTTTGGCATGATGAAGAAGCTAGATTTAAGTATAAAAACCCCTGAATATAGAATAATAAGTGTACAAAGTGTAAGTCACTTTGTACACTTATTATTCTATATTCAGGGGTTTTTATACTTAAATCTAGCTTCTTCATCATGTTCACTCTAGTGACTTAGTATAGAGTCTCAAACCTCCTTTTACAGCTGTATGCATAATGTAGGCAACAAAATTATCATGGTGTGGATTAGCAGTATTTGTTTATTACTCATTTCATCAGTATATTGTGTTTTTTTCAGCTTTATACCCTGTTCCCGTGTTGATTGTCTGCTCCACGCTAATGTGTTTAACCCGTGTCTCTCTCTTGTGTGTCTCTATGATCCCTGTGCTCTTCCCCTTTTGTTGCTGGTCCATTCTGTCCATCTGTTTTCCCGGTTCCTGCTGGATTTTTTCTATAGTTTTCCCCATACCTATCTTACCGTCGTTAATCCCGCATTTTGGATCCTTCCTTTGTTCAACACATGACAATAATATCTACAGCAAATCCCTGACAACATTCATAATTATAATATGAGTCTATATCCCTGCATTAGTGAACATAGGGAAACAATACTCATTCTGTTACGTTTGAGAAATCTTCGGGGAGCATTCTGAAAGGGTGTGGCAAGCTAATGGTTCGAAACGTCTGAAATAAGGATAACATGGGAACTTCTATAGAAATAACCATATTGGATAATGACAACTTTTCAATACTGTGATGTTAATGAGTAGTAAAACTGAGAAAGAGAAGTGATGGATGGGTAAATTAAAAGCAAGCCACTAGTTGATAACCACTGCTTTAAGTCATGTAGAAGCAGGTTGATTGCCAAACTGGTCCCTCTCACCTTCCAGGATGTAAACGCACTCAGTGTCTGGGGGGTATTTGCTTGGGTAATTGGGAGAAGTGAACAGTCCTCCATCTGGTTCTTTCACCCATGTCCCACACTGACCCGCTGGCTTCACCCCAGAGTTGTTTTTCACTGTAATAGAAATACATGAGAAAAAATACCAGTAACACTCATTAGAAATGGCTTTGATAGCTGTTTTGTTTTACATGCATATATCTATAATTTACCTGCCAGATCCTTCTTCGTAGCCCCAGACAACCCCAGTATTAGAAGACTTACAGCAACAACTGCAGGAAAAAGGAGCAAGATGGTAGTGACACAGAAGATGTTTTTCTACGCTTCATTCCTGCTGCGTGAGGTTTGAGTCAGCAAAGGGTTAATTATGGATTACAAATTTTATGTCCATTATCATTAGCTGTTAATTCTTCTGGGATGTTGCTGAATTTGCTTAATATTGCCAGACAGAAAGTGTAAAATCTGCACAATTAAGCTGAGGAGATAGTATTATATTCACACAAATAGAATGTCCTCTATGCATCTCTCATTCTTTGATTCATTTGGGCCAGCCTAAAGGCTTATTTGTCGGAGGGACATCTTACCGCGTTGTAAGTTGTGTCCATGTACCATGTCTATTCCTTTCACAAACCGCTTCAGGTCCAACTAATTCCATTTAGATGTAGAAATACTTGGAGAGGGAAAATAAAGGTTTTGAAAGAGTTTGCAGGCATTCATAAGGCACCTGTGCCAAACATTCTGCTCAAAAAACAATCAAACAAACAATAATCCTTCACAAAATGTAGTTTGAAGAAGTCCTTTTTGTGACTAGTCAGCAGTTTCGTATAAACCCAAGAGCAGCCGTAAAGGTGTCCATCCACACGTTTCCAAAAGCCTGCGGTGCGTGTGATGCACTGACAGTCCCGGCATGAGCCCCCGCTAATAGCTCCACCTTTGCGCTCTTCTTTTTAAAAATATCATTGACAATCTCGGTTGGTGCCGTCACCAAAAACAAACGGGGTCCAGTGAAAGCGCGTAAACCCAAGTAGTATTCATCCCGCGTGTGCGGCGTTTTTACGCTGCGTAAAAATCCCGCGGGTCTTTGGTGAGACAGGGACCGCTGGTGTTCCTCAAGAGCGTGCAGCCCCGTGTCTGTGCTCCTCTCATCTGGAGAGTTCCTGCAGCCAGCGCGAGTTACGTACTGCCCCCTTCTCCTTCTCCTTCCCCCTCCTCTCTGTTCATTCAGCATCAGCAGCACTACAGTCATGGACTACAGTGCGCCCAATGCGCCACGAGCCACGCGCACCGCTCGTGCGCACTCCAAAACTTTTACACTCATTAGGATTGAACTGCGACTAAATGTGATGTGTTGAAAAGTAAAGATCTGATGGCTCCCCACTGAGTGAGTCATGCAGAATTCTGAATCCTTTTTGGCCTTACATAACAAAACAAGATACATTATGATAATTAATATTTATATGAGTCAACTATTGTAAAGCATAATGTAGTCTTTAAAACCATTTTTAGTTTTTTTGGGCCAGCCTTGTTACCACCCCTTCAAAGAAAAGCCTTGGGCACTCAACTGCTGTCTGTTGGATGTATACTGTACCTATTGCTTCTACGACCTTGTGATTTCCCTGAATAGACAGATTTGTGATCTCACATAGAGACAATATGATCACATTTAAAGATGCCCATATGATCCAAAGCTTATGACCAAAGTTAAAAGATCACAGACTCAGTCAGCTCCACAGAGGCAACTCTTATAGAGATAGGGTGAGGAGCTTGGAGTAGAGCTACTGCTCCTCATGTCTTAAATAAAACAGTTCCCCCAGCAGTCGGCCGATGGATTTTTAAAATTCTAATTATTTGATGGTGATGCTGTTTCTGGCACAAACATGGGCTGACTGCCATGTCGCTCAGAATTGCCTCTTTGATTCATTTCCTGCTCCTGGTCCACTCTTCTGCAGATTCCAATTTGAGGACGGAATTGAGAGGTAAAGTGCTGTTTTTTTCACCCCCAAAAATCTTGGAAAGACCTATTACTTTGTGAAGTCTAAGTGTCAAGATGCTTCTTGGCTCCTCTGTGTATGTGTGTGTGTGTGTGTGTGTGTGTGTGTGTGTGTGTGTGTGTGTGTGTGTGTGTGTGTGTGTGTGTGTGTGTGTGTGTGTGTGTGTGTGTGTGTGTGTGTGCTGTTGATTCTCTAACAGGTGCCAGAGTGGGGTGGCTGCGACTGTATAGTGCCAAGCTTTTGCTGTGTCCTTAGGCAAGACACTTCACCCATATTGCCTAGAATGAGTCTGGTGTGTGAATGGCAATGAACGGACACAGCCATTGGTCCACAGGGAGCAGGATGACCACTGTTCGGAAAAGTTTATAATGTCCGTAGATGTCGTGAATCATCACTGACCTCCAGGAGTCAGGCTGTAGAACAAGGACTGAGGCATAAAGAGCGTTGAACAGGCATTTTTGCTCAAATGAAAGAAGTTGCTGATCGCTAACTTGATCTGCGGCCATAGCAAAGCTTACAGGGCCTTTAACGTGAGGTTTATTCTGCTAGTGATTTTGGTGATGTGTGGATTTGCGTCATATTACATGGTTTTATATCAATATTGAGATGAGCCACTTACTGTATGCCTTTTGAGAAGAAGCATGAAAAGTATAATCAAACACATTTCATTCATAAATGTGCTTTACCCAGGCCTCGCAGAGTCCCCAGGTGAGTGATCATGTAGTGGCTGATGGTGTGATTGGCCAGAGAGTCGAACATGCTGCTGAGCGCCGAGGCCCCTGCCGTCCCGAACAAATACTCCAGAATCAGGTTCCAGCCAATGAAGAAGGCCACGAACTCCCCCAAGGTGACGTAGCTGTAGGTGTAGGCTGATCCCGTGGTCTTTGGGACGCGCACACCCAACTCAGTGTAACACACACCTGAACATACGTCACACAGCATTCTTTTTTAACCATGTATACTGAGACAAGAGAGGTCTGAGTCTGCATGTATACTGAGACAAGAGAGGTCTGAGTCTGCATGTATACTGAGACAAGAGAGGTCTGAGTCTGCATGTATACTGAGACAAGAGAGGTCTGAGTCTGCATGTATACTGAGACAAGAGAGGTCTGAGTCTGCATGTATACTGAGACAAGAGAGGTCTGAGCTGATGAGCCTCTGCCATATACTACGCTGCGGTGTGCTGGGCCCCGGGCAGCACAGAGAGGGACAGGAGTAGACTGAACAAGCTGGTCAGGAGGGCCAGCTCCACTCTGGACTGCCCCCTGGACTCTGTGGAGAAGGTGAGGGACAGGAGGCCCCTGGACTCTGTGGAGGAGGTGAGGGATAGGAGGTCCCTGGACTCTGTGGAGAAGGTGAGGGACAGGAGGCCCCTAAACTCTGTGGAGGAGGTGAGGGACAGGAGGCCCCTGGACTCTGTGGAGGAGGTGAGGGACAGGAGGTGCTAGTCAAAGTCACCTCCATCATGGACAACACCTCCCACTGCACAGGACTGTAGAGGAGCTGAGGAGCTCCTTCAGTGGAAGAACGAGCGCTACCACAGGGCCTTCATCCCCACTGCTGTCAGACTGTACAATAAGTCAATCTAAGTCACTTGCATTAGGACTGAAAAAACCTGCACTACTTATTGACACTTGACTGCCACTTTTGAATAGACACTTTTTATTGTACATAATAATTAGATGTACTTAGATAAGATGTACTTATTGTACACAATAAGTACATCTTTAAAAATTATGCTAGTGAAGTATCATAATTACTATTATTTTCACAGACAGGCACACACTTGCGCTTTTTTGTTGTTGTTATGGGGTTTGCCCGTATATGAGGATTGAGGTATTGTAGAGAGGGATGGGAAAAAAGAATTAAAAAAACAAAAACAAAAAATGTGTCACTAAAACCGAACGTTTACACATGCATAAGTTCAATGCATTGAGTTTGTAAAAAATGTGTCAATTTCAGTCAGATGAAGTGATGTTGCAATATAATTGCTATACATATTAAATACCATATGGTGTATTTATTTTTGTAAAACTGTAAATGATAAATCCTTTATTTATTTTGTACGACTGTAAATGAAAAATCCTTTGTGATTTTTGTGTTACTTGAATGAGAGATAAGGGGTAGGTTTATTATAAGTTCTTTGAACTTCTTCCTACTCCTTTTGAGCACAATAGTCTTGTTTTGTTTTCTTCTGTAAAATGTTTTAAATAAGTTTCTGCTCAAATAAATAAATGAAAGAAAAGAATATATCCTGCATTCAACATGTTTGCACATTTCTTTCTTTTGCACAATCTTGAGTGTTTCTGTCCATGCCAGATGTGACATGTACATTTCTCCAGTGTGAGATCAATAAAGTCTACTGTATCTTATCTTATCTTAAATGTAGTTCTACAGTTGATTAGCACAGGTTTAACTATATTGTATAAACTGTATGTATTTTAAACGTATACAATGTCAAGAATAAAACACACCATATCTACTCTTTAGTCATTGCTCTCAAAACACAGCTAGCCTGTATGGGGATTGATCCCACATCCTTGGCATTATTAGCAACACGCCCTTTCCAACTGAGCTGATCAGCCTTTGTATCATCAATTTTTGAGAGCAATGTGCATTCATCAAACCTCAAGTTCTATTTATGTATTTTCACAGTTTATGAATCTATCTTTATCTCATTTTTATTATGAACAAAGGTACAGTAAGCAGGGACTTCTAGACATATCATATCAGGAGCTGCAGAATTAAATCATTATCTCACAATGTCAATAACTTTCCAATTGCACCTGTTTTCCTTTGGCATGATCTTGTTGATATTCAAGGGAAAACACATGGCAAGGTGGGGGCTTACAATAAAAAAACATGCAGCAAATTAAAAAAAGGCCTAAAGAACCCTTTCGCGTTTTTGATGCTATGAGCACTTCACCCCAGTTCTGTGTTCACTTGACTGGCCCTTGACTGGAATGTGATTCTTCACAAATCACATTCAAAGCTCTTGAGTTAGCAGTCACTTTTAATTAAATGTTGTTAATTACAAAATAAGTAAAAAATTATCTTGTGTGTTCAATCCATATCTATTATAATTTTCATAATTAATTTCCTTTATTTTCAATGAGGATTCTTTGCCAACATGTTAAGTAGCTGCAAAAAATTGCCACGGTAACAGAAGCATGGAATATTCTATCATCATGGCAACAGGGATTCCATTAGAATCATTACGTCATCAAAGCTAGGGTCTGCTGTGTATGTGTGTCTGTCTGTGATTCGTAAATAAGGTCAGACAAAAAACGGACAAAACGGATTAAACGAAGTAAACGGAGTAAACTGAGCAAAATGGCGTGTTTTAGAAGGCAATCAAAGAAAGACAAGCTGATTGAAAAGCTTGAAGACGATGTGATCGTGTTGGAGAAAAAACACAAGGGTCTTTTGGAGGACCTGCAGAGGGAGAAAATGCAGAGGAAGGAAATGGAGAAGACTCAACTGGAAGAACGTCGCCAACAAGAGGAGCAGGTGATCCAGCTCCAGACAGAGAGATCTGCCTTGGAGACTGCTCTGTTGCAGGCGGAAAAGAGATCTACCTCTACTCAAGAAAAACTGGATTCTACCATTCAGGAGAAGACAGCTATCCAAGAGGAACTGCAAAAGACCCATGAGGACAATGAGGCCTTGGACATTGCAATGAAGACGTCTGCTAAAAAGACAGACGCAGTGATTGGAGATCTGCAGAATGAGCGTCATCAACAGCAGGAGAAAGTGAGCCAGCTCCAGACTGAGAAATCTGCCTTGGAGTCTGCCCTAATGCAGTCAGAGAAGAACTCTACTTCTATCCAAGACAGACTGAATTCCACCATTCAGGAGAAGACAGCTATCCAAGAGGAACTGCAGAAGGCCCATGAGGACAATGAGGCCTTGGACATTGCAATGAAGACGTCTGCTAAAAAGACAGACGCAGTGATTGGAGATCTGCAGAATGAGCTTGTGCATGTCAAGTCTGAGAACAATATGACAATAGACTGCCTGAAATCTCGCATACAAGAAGGCGACTGTTTCATAAACAAGCTCAAGACCCAGATGCAGGACAGAGAGACGGCAAATACCCGTCTGGAGGAAAGTCTGGCAAGCACCCAAAAGGAGTTGAAGGAATGTAGCACAAATTTCCTTCTGAAAAACTTTGAAATTGCCAAGATGGAGGAGGAGAATGGGAAACTCACAGCTCTGTGTCAAAGGTTCAAGACAAAAATACTGGATATGGAACAGCAGCTGAAAAACATTGCACGCTGCGTTGGAGAAAAGTCTTCTTGTGGCCCAGGAAAAATCAAAAAATGAGGTGGAGGATGTCAAGAGGACCTGTGAACACTCCATTCGTGAGCTGAGGAAGCAGGAGGCCCACGCAAACGAGACAATTAAAGAGTTGAAGACCAAGCTCTTGTGTCTGGAAAAGCATTCTGAAGACATGAAGAAAAAGTGGGAGGAAGAATGCAAGGAGGTGCAGAGGATGAAGCAAAGTCATCAAGAAAAGATTCCGCCGGCCGCACTGGGCGGAGAAGAGGACCACACCGAGAGAACCGCTGATGTTCTGGTAATTGGCAGCTCTATTGTAAGAGATGTTGAGATCCCAGGGGCCACTGTTCTGTGCTACCCTGGGGCCAGGATGGGTGACATTGAGGGGAATCTGAGGGTCCTGAACCAAAGCAAGCAGCGTTTTCGTCTAGTCGTCGTTCACGCGGGTGGCAATGACGTTAGGCGGAAAACAAACAACAGCAGAGATGTTGAAGGTGCAGGTTGCCGCCGTTTGTAATCTGGCGAGCACAATGGCGGACACGGTTATCTTTTCTGGTCCCCTTCCTAGCACCGGCAGTGAAGAAGCATACAGCAGCATGTTATCTTTCCATCGCTGGCTGTCTGGTTGGTGCCCTCAACATGGTGTTGTCTTTGTTGACAACTGGAGCACCTTCTTGGGAAAGCCCGGTCTCATGCGCCCAGATGATGTCCACCCAACATTGAAGGGTACAGCCCTTTTGATCAAGAATATGGAAATGACTCTAAGTTCTCTGACCCGCTCGAATGACAGTCCGCCACAACCTCTGAGTTCCCACCAGAGAAGAAGACAAAACCTCCGAGTGCAACGCTGGTAAAAACACAACAATGTGTTGTGTTTAGGCCAAACCAGCCACCACAGGTCACAATCAATACAACCGGACAGAAACCAAAACCGAAGAAGACACCAATACCAACAAATTCCTTTAACTCCCAACTCCCATTACCTAAAGTCTGATATAACTTTTCCACAATGACAACATAGACTTCCAAACAGCAAATTCCAAAGTGTTAAATTCAGATCCCTACTCTGCGAAAGGATTTGTAAGTACTCTTTTTATATACAGCTTATCTTTTGTAAACCTGCATAAATAATTTTCAATACTTTGTTGTTTAAAAGGAGCACCTTTATGACCCTCTGGGTGGGTCTGGTTACCTGCAATGGTTAAGTTAACCCGAAAAGAAAGCGTTGGCTAAAACTTAAAGACCAGCTATTCGGAGATGACTGCCAAGAAGCTATAAAGATGCTGACTCTCTAAACACGTCAAGCGATCACAAAGGATACTTTTCAATCGCCATTTTCTAGTACATGACCAACAAGGCTCTGTCTCTTTTGGATGTTTTTTCCAAGATTACTTGACACACCAGATTTAGTAAGTATACATTACTTTTTGCTTTATTATTTCCACTTCAGTCATAATATAATTCATCATGTCTTCTAGATTAACCAAGACTTTGAGATGATGTTTGGCAGAAATTTTGCTGATAGTTTTGTCTCTAAATGGTCGACTTTATCAAAACAAGGATCCTCGCTGAAAGTCTGGTAAGTTTCTGCTTTTCTAGAATAAAAACCGGATCTCCAGTGGGGAGCTTTAGTATAGCCTGCAATGGGCATCGCCACATGCTGAATTGTCTTTAATAAATTGATCTGTTATTGTAACATACGTATCTGTTTTTGTAACACTTTGTGTTTTCCAGGATGGGATAGCGACATGTCCAGTATTTTGCTGTTGGTCACTTGCTTCCACCAACTCCAAAAGGATATAATCGAAGTGGCAAGTGGAGCTCACCTCAAGCTATTGACGACCTTGTCAAACATCTGCAGGTACGTTGGTAATATCGAAAGAAACCTTCTTTAAAGTTCTCTACTTGTGTAATTTTTTGTTTCCTTTGTAACCATTTATATCTATTTTAAGTATGTTTAAAAAGTAACGATCCTCACTATTTTACAGATTGGAGCCTTTACTCTTTTCTTGCTGGGGTGGAGCCTGGACAACCGTTGCTTTTATGTGTTGGTGATGGGAAGCACAACATCCAGATTTTCTACATGGTCGTTGACCATAAGGTGCTCCATACCAGCCACAAACACTTTCTCCGATGGATGAACTCTTCAAGGTGCACTTCATCTTCAGTTGGAACTGTGCAGAGTTGCTCAAAAACTTTTAAATCTTCAAACAGACAACGGTCTACAACATAGACTTTGGACAAGTGAAGGAGAACCCCAGAGTCAAAGAGCTCAGAGCAAGGATCCAAAATGCGGAGCTCCAAGGAATCATCTAAAGAATCTGGACAATGTTTATGTTCCTTCTGTAAAGAACAACATTCCAGTTCTGCAGCACTCTGCCAACATTTAAGGCACAGTCATGGACTATATCCACACAAACATTTGAGAATCAGTTGTGGACATTTGCCGGCTTTAAAAGGCATCTAGCCATTCGTCATAAGTTATAGTTATAATCTATAATTTAGGCTGTATGGATAAAGGGATACAGGGATATTTGTGATGAGTCAACATTTAAATCACATTAATTATTCTCAAAATCAAACTATGCTCTCCAAATTCAACTTTATTATGGCGGGCGGCACGGTGGCTGAGTGAATAGCACTCTCGCCTCTCAGCAAGAAGGTCCTGGGTTCGATTCCTGGTCGGAACTGGGCCTTTCTGAGTGGAGTTTGCATGTTCTCCCCGTGTCTGCGTAGGTTTCCTCCGGGTGCTCCGGTTTCCCCTACCACTAAAAATATGCTCAATAGGTAAAATCCTCCAGCTCTGGTAGTCCTGATCAAGCCTATAGTATCATTATCTAGAGATGGGTTCCTGGGCGTTGTTACTACGGCGACCACTGCTCCACATCAGGATGGGTCAAATGCAGAACTAATTTACATTTAGAGACTAATCCTTTGGGTTCCAAGAAAGGGATACACAAACTAGGCGCTACAGTGGGGCGACTGTAAACTTTTCGTTGTGCCCTTAGGCAAGACTCTTCACCCACATTGCCTTGTATGAATGTTGTGCGTGTGAATGATGGTGGTGGTAGGAGGGGCCGATAACAGGCAGCCTCACTAGGAGCAGTTTGCCTCAGGGCAGCTGTGGCTAGTAGCTCACCACCACCGTGTGTGGGATGAATGGTTAGGATGCAATAGGAAGCAGTATTTCAGATTTGATACAACAGTTTGAGAGCACCAATAGCACTTTAGTGTCATGACAGGCCCTTTAAAATGCAAATGATTTGGTAATAATGGCTCCAATAATAGGTTAGTGTAGTTTTCTTGCTATCAAGAGGATGTGGGTCCACAGGCCTGAGTTATATCAGTTCCTGTTGAACCTGTGATCTTAAGGAACCTGCAAGACTTTTAACAGGAGTGGGAGCTGTGCTATGAAATTTTACTTTCAGTAAAATACAAATAAAAATTATATTAAACCAATCAATGTCTGTATACTCAACTTTTTTGTTCAAAACTCCTGGGCTCACCAATGACGAACATATTACCAACTTTTACCTTCCAAAAGTGACTCATTAAGTGGGTTTTGGTGAAGAATCGTTGGTGCAATGACAGCTTCATCATCAGTCATGTATTTTTACAGATTTACTTCTGAAACTTAGAGGAAACAGAACTTTTCAGTGGTTTTGACCATGTTTCCCCTCATCATTATTCCACGACAATTAGTTTTTTTTATCCACCAAAATTCTGTTCTTCAGTGGTGGTAGTTTTTTAGCGTGTTTTTTTCCCCAAGGATGAAAGAATTGCTGATCACGAATCCCCAAGTGTTTAACACTTCATGATTCAATCATTTCTATCACGTGGAGTGAAAAACATTACATTACAGTACATTTTCATCCCTTTATTCCATTTCTGGGTCAGGGGGGTGGCAATCAGTGAAAAACCCAAACTCCAAAATAATTGTTTTACCAAAAAGTAATACAAATCAAGATCTAGCAAAAGCACCACAAAAATCAATCAATCAATCAATCAATACTTTATTATCTCACAGATGGAGAAATTCATTTCGATGAATAAACATCAAGGCCGGCTGCGGACGACATATCCGCGCTCCTTATGGCAGTTATTCAACAGCAGAGAGCAAAACAAACATTTCAACAGACATTATTGGATGGAAACAGTACATGCGGGAAAGCATGCAGATCTTTTTTAAGGGACATTGTCACTCTGACAGAGGGGGAGTGTGGTGGGGGAGGTGGAGGGGAAGACCACCGTAGACCATAAACTGTATATATTAACGGACAGAGTCACGCCTATCTCCGCCGTTCTAACTAATGGGCCAAAAAAGGTTCTCTACTGGAGAAATCCAAAACGGCCGCGAGTGGTCCCGCCCACAAGAAAATTGTGAAAAAACGCATCTGCGCATGCGTCAGCCGGCGCAGCTCCATTCATTTGAACGAGAAACTTCAAAAATTCATAGCAAGTAAACTAGAGTGGACCAAAACAATTCACCCCCCTCAGCATTGACACACATGTGGAACGGAGCTTTGAGCGAAGAGCCAACTTTTGGTCCATCCTGTAAAGACATTTTCGAGAGGTCTGCCAACGCTATATGTTAGCATTGGCTAATTCTTTTTCTGGGTCCACCCCCATCGGCCCGGGGTGGTATTGCAAGCATGTCAGCGCACGTCATTTTGGCCACTTTTGAGCTGGGACCCGCCCCCACTGCCGTAGACAGAAAGAGAGAGAGACAGACATGTAGAGGGAGGGGTGAGCCAAACAACGGGTATACTGATGAGTCTTTAAGTTATGAGAGAAAGTCCATCTTCGGCCTTGAAGGCCGGCTGTGTGGTGGAATGTGGAGGACAAAGATAAGAGCAGGTGCCTACGGACGTGGGAGACAAAACAACACATATGCCTTGTGGGAATTTGTAAAGCACTTTTAGCTGGTCAAATCAAAGGGCAGTGTAGACTTTAACGCCAAATAAGTCCAAATTAGGAACTGGATCCCTCTGTTCACCGTTATCCAGAGTTGACCACGTCAGTGCGAGTGTTCGCCATGAGGCCCAAGTCCTTCAATCAATCCCTCCAAACGCTTATGTCCTTCCATAGACCTCACTCCCAGGTCTCTAAGGGAGTGTTCAATCTGTACCACAACCCTCTGTGTCCCTACAGCGCCCTCGACCA